GCAAATGCGTTCTCTTCTTTGACTTCTAATAAAGGATAATATTCTTGTCGTATTACCTTAAAATAAATAAAATTAATAAAATAATACAAAGTTTAAATTAGATAAAACAGGCAATTATCTTTTATAAAACCTTACGAAAAAATCCTGGTTCAACGGGACTATAAATTTATACCAGATGTTTACATATATAAAAACGACTTAATAGAAAGCCATAACATGAACAGATCCAATATAAAGAATCAGTAAAATAAGTAGATTTAGGGTTAACTGGTCTAGTAGCTAATTTTTTCCACTCAAGTCAAAAATTTTCTCACCACTTTGGCATATACCGATTATCACGAAATAACTGTAACCGATCAATTTGACGTGGTATAACCTTTACAATGATAATATAAATAATTAAATCAAGTCGAGCACGATTATAACTTGAAAAAAAATCATGCTTCAAGACCCGCCAATGGCTTTCAATGACCATTGTACTTCGTAAAACATTAAGTTTTAGATTTGATGCCTGCGCCCATAGTTTCCACATTTCAGGGTGGTACCACTCTGACCACAAATAACACCAAATGTGTTTTAGATTATTTTTGTAACAATAATTGTATTGTTCCTTAACACTTTTATCCCAAATTTGGTTCATATTTAAAAAATTTGATGAACCTGAACTCTCTATTGGTATAATTGGATGCCATAAAAGATGAATGCGAACCATTTGAAGAATTGCTTCATGAAAACTTTTTTGGCAAAAAACCTGTTTTTTATAATTATCATGTGAATCTGCTTGATTTGTAAGATCTATAAACGCTTGGTTTTGATCTGGTTGCCATGCAGGATTAATTGTTGAACAAAGCAAATATGCCTCGTATGAATTATAATGATTGTGCACAATACCAGTACTTGAAAGTTTTTTTTTAATTGCACGTAATACATGCCAGTAACATAATTGGATTCTTGCCTTAGTCCAAACTTTGCTAGCAGCTGTAATTTGTCCATGATCCTTATCCATCAGAATAGTTTCAGTATTTTGAATCCCATTTTCTTTTAAATTTTCAAACTATTTTGTAATTGCTTGTGTTTTACCAAATGGATGCTTTGGTTCAAGAAAAAAATATGAGAGCAGAAACCCAGCACCATCTACAACTCCAAGAACCGCAAACAATTCAAACTTTAAACGATTTGTCCCATAAATAGAATCGATAATAATAGTTTTTGTAGCTTTGTTTGGTAATATAAATAACAATGGAGTTAAAAATGCCAACGAATGTTGATTATAATAAAGAAGTTTAAAACTTATATTCTGCTCTAAATATCGTCTGAATGATTCCAATTGATCCTCTGCTAATTTATATTCCTTAGTAGCAAATTTTTTAGACCAATAATAAACTTTTTGGTATTTATTTAACTTAATTTTAAAAACTTTTATAACAATGATGATTATACAATTTGCAAGCAATGAGACAACTAGTAGAAAGAATAAAATTTGTAGAAAAATTTACTGATTGGTTTTTAAATAATCTAAATTCACAAAAAAAAATTATAAAACCATATCTTGAAAAGTAAAAACTTTTTTAGAAATATTATGCAGATCTGAGTTTAAAAATACAAATTAAATACTTTGTAAAATTTGGTGAAAAAATTTATAAACTAATAATAAATTTTTTTATTGAGTCTGATAAAGAACTGTAAATTCTTCAATCAGATAGCTAGTTATTGCTGCTTCCAGCTAGCTGACAAGCTTACAAGATACCTAACAAATATATTAAATAGACAGAAAAATTATATAATATTAAACTATTTAAATATAAGATTAAAACAACAGAAAAATCATATTTCTAGTCTTAAGGAATTATGTTTTGTGTCTATTTTAGAATTAAATATTAAACAATCTAATTTAATGATTTTGATTTGTTACAAGCAATAAAAGATCTGTTATTTCTACAAGAATTACTTGACTTTGCTAATTCTAACTTACCAATCTACAATTTTCCTTTACTTTATGAATTCATCAAGTATCAAATTTATTATATCGTGATTCATCAGCAACAAAATAAAGAATTTATTTAACAAGTATAGTATGACCTTAAGTGTTATACAAATATGAATATTGAAACCAAAAAAGCCAAACTACAATTTTTAGATATTAAACAAATATCTCTATCTGATAAAGATTTGGTGGCTTAAAGAAAAAATAAAAGAATAAAAAAAATCATGAATATGATAATAAAAAACAAACAATGTTTGAAGAAATTAAAACTAATAAACTGTTTAATAATCTGTTCAATAAATAAAGAAATAATTTGTTCAACAAATAAAAAAATAATTTGTTTGATAAATAAAATAAATAATTTATAAAAGAATTTATTTAGCAATAACCAGTAGTAAATTTTACTAGTGATCATTCTTGCATAACAAAATCAAAACAATTTTTTAAAATAAAGTTAGTTTTTTTTATTGTTAAAATTAGAGCAAGGTTTGAAATAGAACAAAAATATAGTTTATAGTAAAATTTTGCAAGAAATTTTTTTTATTAGAGTATCAAAGCTGGTTTTATATATTAAATTTTGAGTTATTAGCAATTTTTTAAAAAGTTCTTTATTTTTGTTATACAAAATTGATTTACATGTTACACCTGATCTTTAATTTTGATTGGCTGGTGAAATTTACCACCGGTGAGCATCCTTTATAAAAAAAACTCAAAATCCTTATATAATAAATTTTATATGTACACCTACTTATGATTTGATTTTACGAGGGTAGAATCACCACCCAAAAAAATTTTGAAGATCACGTGATATTGATCATTACATATAATTGTTTCATATCGTTATTACATACAAGTTCAGCGGACATTTAATATCTGTTATTTCTAATAATGAAGATGT